ATTTTAAAACACCAATTTCCAGGCCTGGAAAAGTTTTGGAAAAATAAATAAACCCAGAAAGTTTTGGAAAAGTTGTTGAAATCTATTTCACAAAACTCTGTATAATAGAATTGTTTAATCAGGTCCTGAATTTCGGTGCGGGATTACGCATAGGCTATATCGCATAGTTTTACTCATTCCCGCAGCTTTTGACTTTAAAATGATGGATATTCACACATTTATTCAATAGCCTATAGCATGTAGGTTTGATGAGTAAATAATCAAACCTACAGACTGAGTCCAGTCCACACAGATTGATCAAATCAGTCATTTGAAAACAGCGTGAGTGATTCAGCTGTACGCGTCTTCTCTCTTTGACTTTCTCTTCAAACGGCTTCACATCGGCGCATCTTGTCTGCGCTACAAGAGCCGCTGCACGCTGCGATACAAGACTTTCACTCGCATTTCGGGACAGTTGACAGAATTGTCACTTGCCTAATCGGGTCATTGTTGCACCGTCAGAAAATGTTATTATTTATTTGAACGTCTTTTTAAGCCATTCGGTACTCGCGCGCTGCAGAGGCGGTGCGCAGTCACATCCAAAGTGCGCTCGTGCGTATATAAAGCCACCATGCCAGTACCAAATTGAGTTTGCTACCAAATAAGCTCAGCAGAACCCTGCACGGGCCTCAAACATATGCCCTAGTCCGGCCCTTATCCGACAGATTATCAGAATTACTGGCCGAGTCCGACTGGAGCCCGTGTCTTTTTTCTCTTTCTCTCTCCCCCAATTACACAGCTGCTGTTGTAGCCATTAAAATAGTCCAGTTTCGTTTTTAATGGCAAAAGTGGTTATATATATTTTCGTTTCTTTATTACGTTAATTTAGAAATATGTTTGGAAAATGTTTTTGTTTGTTAAATTCAAGTTTTTGTTTTTTTAGTAGCCTAACGACCAAGCGGCCAGCGGCAGACAGTGAGTTAGCCCATGTTTGATCAGTTTAGCCTTCTCAAATCATCACCACTTTACTAAAATAAAATCTATATATAAAATACTTAAAGCATATCACTTTGTAAGTTTAAACAGTTAACCTAGATAAATGTGTACTATTAGGCGTGTATCCAATCATTTGTGCGGAGAGTGGAAGCTAAAGCGCGCTCTGCAGGACTTGGAGTCGCCAGGGCAATCACTTGCATTTTTTTCTTATAACAGTGGAAACAACCGTCATTTTTGCTCATAAAGGTAAGAGTAATACATCATTCGGGACTGTTAAGGGTCTACTTTTATTTGTGTGCACTCGTTGGGCTCGGGCTGAAATGCAGGGCTCTAAAGCGCAGCTTGTTGCATTTAAGCAGCAAAAATACACACAAAATGACACCAAAATGGCCATCCTGGCCACACAGTTAAATAAATGATAATATTCAGTGATGTGATATGTGAAATGTGGAGTAACGTCTGGCGCAGTTGCAGCTTGTACTTGTTACTAAAACAAGAAAGCAAACGACTAGCATTAATAGTTATTCATTTTAGTTAACATATGCTATGATCATTTGAACAGATTTTTATTCTTTTTAGAAAATAATGGAACATTTAGGTCATGAATATTGTCTCAAAAGTCATGGAAAAGTCATGGAAATGTATTGGTAAAAATGTGTACGAACCCTGTTCTGTGTATTTTACGAACGCACCCATATCACCATGTGCCTGACTCCAAAAACAACCATGTGTGGTTATGTGCCACAGCAATGGCAGCAGAACTGTGATTGGCGGGCTAAAAGAAGAATTTCTGACCCTGCCAATCGCAGATTTTACCAGCTATTTTTATTCTTTCAGTTGAAATAAGGGACACACTACATGAAATTAAAGAAATATATGAAATGTCACACCCTCAGATGCTTCTGCAGAGCACATTAGCAACATAAACATCTAAACTGCCTTTCAAGACTTACTTAAGTCTGTTCTTCGAGATATAAATATATGTATTTATACTTTTGATAATTTTTCTAGTTTGTGATATAATGTTCTTAGCTAGATAGAGCGAGTTGAAAGTATATATATATATATATATATATATATATATA